CAATAAAATTTTTTTATAATTTATAATTAATAAAAATTATTGGATGTAATTAAGCTGTTTATATTATATTAAAAATGTATTATATATTAATAAGAATATTTCCATTGATATCTTTATAATACTTTAATTAAAACTCTAATATTTTTTTTATGTCATTTTTCATTATCAATTGAAATCATCTGATTAAAAGAAAATAAAAAAATAGTATACTAATAAGATTAAATTTGATAACTCAGATTTGACCTAATTAGTACTCTATTTTTTATCATTTGATTATTTAATAAGAAAAATATTTTGATTTAGAATATATTACTTATGAATTTTATATTAAAATATTTTCATCTATTAATATTAATAATAAGATTTTTTAAGAAATTATTAACAAATATTTATTAATAAATTAGGTTTTATATCTTTAAATTGTGATTGCTTATTCTTTTATTAATACTTACCTTATCAGTATATATTTCATAAAATATATATAATATTAAAAAGCTATTAATATTAAATACATTAAATTTTTTTTAAATAAAGCTAGATTTAAATATATATATATTATAAATTAGTTTATTTAAAGGAATTTAATTGAAAAGATAATAGAAAATTAATAGTTAGTTTAATGTTAAACAAATTGATTGATTTATTAAAGATTTGAAAAATTATTTAAAATTGTTTAAATAATTAAATATTAAATAATAGTAATATAACTTAAAATAAATAAATAATATAATAAATTTAAAAATTTTTACCATTATATAATTCTTTATTTTTTATAATTGTTTTGTATTTTTTAATAATACATATGATCTAAAATTATATTATCACCAGCTAAAAATTTATTATTGAAAAATTAATTTATAGAAGTTACTAAAATTAATTTTATATTGATTATAAATTATAAGAATTTGTATAATTTTTGATTTTTCTGATTTTTCTGATTAGTCTGATATTCATGATTTTACTTATTTTTATTATTTCATTTATTTTTATTATTTTTATTATTTTTATTATATTTATTATATTTATTATATCTTTTATATTTATACTTGTAATTACAAATTTAGTTAATTTATAGGGGTTTGGTTCAATTAACCAACAATCATTTGGCCAATAATCATTTGGTCAATGACTATTTGACGACAGGTACATATTTCCAACATTCATTTGGTCTACAATTATATTATCAACAGTTATAATTTACTGACAATCATTTTACCAACAAATATTCAGCAAAATTCAGCATTATTATTAAATGATATCATTTATATATCATAATGATTTAATTATGATATCATAATGATCAACAAATGATTTAATAAAGTTTTTTTTTTAAGATGCGTTCCTTTATTTAGTTTCTTTTCAAATGAATAATATTATTTGTGATGTTATTTTTTCTACTCACAATAAAGTTAAACTTAATATTCATAGTTATCTTATGGTTAAAGATAAAAACAGAAACAATTTATATTATTGGTCTTGTAAGATATGAATTACATTAAAATATCATGGAAGAGCAACCACTAAATTGATTGAAGACCAACATTATCTTCAAAAAACTTTAGAACACAATCATGCTACAGAAGCCAGCTGTATTAATATAATAAAAACTATCAATATTTTAAAGAAACGTGTTCAACAAACCAATGATCAGCCTGTATAAATTATTCAATCTATAGCTGCTAATAGTTCACAAGAAATATATCTATATCTTCCATCTCATAATGCACTTCGCCAAACTATTAAATGGATTTGACGTGTTGATTTTCCTCCAGAATTACAGTCTTTAGAAGATTCTTTTATTTCAGAAAACTTTAGATAGATCTGACTTTTTAATTCAAGATTCAACTATAGGCCATAATAGAACATTGCTTTTTACTACTTTGGATAATATTAAGCATTTAGAACAATCTTCTTTTTGAATTATGAATGAGACTTTTAAAATAGTTTCATCTATATTCAAACAATTATATACTATTTATAAATGTATTGAAGAAAATGATAATTCAAGAATTTTACCTTTTATTTATGCATTAATGTCTAGCAAATCTGAAAAATGTTATAAGAAATTATTTGAAGATTTAATTGATTTTAGTGAAGAACAAAACATTGATTTACAACAACAATTTCTTTTAACAGATTTTGAACAAGCTGCTATTAATACTATTCAAGCAGAATTTCAAGATATTCAAAATAAAGGATGTTATTTTTACCTAACTCAAAATGTTTATCATAAAGTATAAACTTCTGGACTCACTACTCAATATGGAATAGATGAAAATTTTAGTTTATTAATTCGATATATACCAGCATTAGCATTTTTATCTCCTGATAATATTCCTGTAGTATTTGATGAATTAAAAACTAATATGCTAGCAAAAGCTAATGAAATCATAGAATAGTTTAAAAGTTATTACATTCATAGCAGAGTAAGACATACATTAAGAAGTGAAAATCTAGTCTAATCTACACCATTATTTTCACCTTCACTTTGGTTAGTTACTGATAATATTGAATATGTTTTTTCTTGAACTTAAAATAATGTAGAAGCCTGGCATTAAAAATGGAAGACTTTGATATGTAATACATATATTAGTGTATTTAAAATTATAAAAGAAATTCAAAAAGAACAAAATCAGGTTCAATTTGAAATAGAATCAATTTTAAGAGGCTTATCATATAATTTACTAAAGAAAAAAAATCATGTATATGAATTACAAATTCAAACGATATATAATGATCAGAATAATAGACAAGTTATAAGGTATTGCACATAATATTGCATTTTAATAGTTTACAATTTAATCAATGTATTAAATAGTATTGGGTTTATATATGCAATTGCTTATAATAAAAGATTTTAATTAACTTTTCTATTGAAAATTTTATTTGTATTTAATTTTCTTTTTTTAATATTAATAAATATTTGTCGATATAATGATTGTTAGTAAAATGTACTTGTCGGTTAAATGATCATTGGCAAAATGATTGTTGACAATACAAACTTTTTGGCTAAATGATTATTGGTTAAATAATTGTTAGCCAAATAATTATCAGTTAATTGATCGGTATAGTGTAATAATTATATAGTTGTAATAAATTAATTTTGTATAAATAGAATATCAAGTTGTAAATTAACTCTTTTGTGAGTTTCTAAGTTATAAATAAAGGAATCAATTTTATAATATAATTACTTTTCTCTTCTATATATGTTTTATTTAGAATTTGATCATGAATTACTATACTAACTTATTTTTGAGTTTATTATTAGAATAAATAAATTCTCTAAGATTCTCTAAGTTCCTAAATCTTTAAGTTAAAGTTAAGTAAAGTAATTTCAAGAAATTTTAGATACCTATAAAATATGAGATTCTTAAGATTGTAAAAGTCTGATAATAAGAAATTTACTTGTTATAGTAAAATAACTTAGAAGAATTATATAAAGAAAATTATTTCAATAATAATATATAAAATTTTATATAAATAAAATAATTATATATAATTTATTTATATTGCTAATTTTTTATAAATCTATTTATTATATAATTAAATACATTTTTAATTATTTTCAAACTTTACCAATAAAATTTAATAATAAAATTATTAATTTACTTAATAAATTAATTAGATATTTGCTAATATTATTATTTTTTATATATATATATACAGTTTCTATAATTATAGGTAATTGCAATAGAAAGGTACAAATTCCAAAAAATCAAAATTTTTCTTTATGATTTTTCTAGTAAAATTAGTTAAGATTTAATATTAAAATAAAAAATATTTTTTAGAATTTTATAAATTTTTACTATATAGCTCTTATATTATTTGACTATAAATTAATTTATAATGATTTATACTTTTTTTTAATTTGTTTTTTATTTATATAATTCTTTTTTATCTTTAATTAAATTAATAGCTATTATAGCTGAATTAAATTATTTTTAAGAAATTTGAGTTTTAAGATATTTGAAATAAACTATTTGTTTATAATAAATATTTTTACTTAACTTTTAATAGGTTTTTCTAAACTTAATCAAGTTTAGATTTAAAAATAAGTTATAAAGGTTTTAAAAAGTTTTTAAATTTTTAGGTTACATATTAAAATAAGTTTAAAATAATAATATTATTTATTTTTATCTTTTTACTAAAATTTTTTATCAATATTTCAACTGATTTATTTTATTATTATATATTTTTTTAATTATTTTCTTTAGTTTATAATGTTATATTCACAATCTTCTATTTATTTGTAATTTTATTATTTTATATTAATAAACAATTTTATCATTTAATATTACCTTATTTAAGTCAAAATTTTATTAGAAGTATTAAAAATTTTGAAAAAATATTTAATATTAAAAATAATATTATGATAATATCAATATAAATGTAAAGATTTTAAATATATTTTAGAATTATGTCTTTAATCAAATTATTAATGTAAAAGATAGGTTTAAGTTTCAAATGAAATACTTAAGTATAAATTATATAAAATCTTTATAATAGAAAAGTGAGAAAAATCAATTTTACTTTTATATGCTAAAATTATTTTAAGCTAAAATATGTTTAATTTAGTATTAACTTATTTTTTATTTTTCCAGTAATTTCTATTCCTATATGTTTTAATAATAAAAATCACAAGTATTTTGAAATAATATAAGTTAATTTGACAATTTAACTTAATTGTTATTAAAGATGAAATTGCAACTGATTTGAAAAATCTGTAACTAATTGTAATCCAAGTAATCCAAAAAGTTGCTATCTTTAATTGATTAAACATTTTAGGATATTATAATTGATTATATAATATGATTAGATTCTCTAAATTTAAAGAGATTAGTTGATTTCTATCACATTTTCTGAAATGATGCAAGGTTGCCTTGGAAGTCACGTGAGTTTATTTGCATTAACCCAAATCCGATCCTTCGGATTCGGATAAGAAAATCATCTAATAAAAAAGTTAATTCTTAATTCTTAATATAACTTTATAAAGAAAAACAATGGATTTTTTAAAAGCAGAAATCGAAAAGAAACGCAAGTTACTTGATACTGCAAAAACCGAGGAACAAGGAACAAAGAAGAGGAAATATATTCGTCGTTCAGATCTAGAGAAAAAAAGAGAACAGCAATATTTATCTGAGCAAGCCGAACTAGAAAGAAAACGTGAGGTATTTACCAATAATCTACATTTACTATAATTTTTACGATATTGTATATTAACCGAATGATTGTGTACGTTTTAGGAGAAACATCGAGAAAAGAATAAAACGGTATAGATCCAATTTGATATAATGATTTTAAGATGAAATAACTTCTTTATATCTTATCCGTGCCTTTTTTTTTTGTTTTATAGCTTTTATTACTAGCCGAGCAAGAAAAAGCTGAAAAGTCGGCTTCAGATAGCGAATTTCAAAAAGAAGAGGTATAATCAAAAAAAACAATGATATTTTATATTGATTTGATTAATTAATTATTTACTTTTGATGTTGACTAGGATGATGGTAACGACACTTTTAATATTTCACCAGAAGAAGTAGTTCGTCGTTTAAGGGCGAAAGGGCAACCAATTCGCCTTTTTGGTGAATCTGATAAAGATCGTAAAACACGTTTACGTGCTATTGAACTTATTGAAGAGCGAACAGAGGTATAATATTAATGAGTCGTTTACCTAATTATATTTTATTTAATTACCCTCATTAATATTTTTATTTTATTTTTTAACTTTCAAGGGACAACGTAATGATTTTATGAGAACTTTGGAAGAAATGGACACTAATTTAGATTTAGAAGCTTTAAAAAAACAACAAGACGTAGCAGAAAATCGAACCTCAAAGAAAAAGAAACCAACGGAAGATTCTGCTTTGGTATACTTTTCATCATTTAATTATTATTTTGAACAACTCATTATCAGGATTGTATATTAATTTATGTGCTTAAATTAGGATAATACTCCAATTAGCATTGAACTCTTAGAAAAAGATCCAGACAAACTCTATATTCTCATTTATACCTTTTTAAAGGTGACTAATTATTTTGTATGATTATATGTAATAAATAATGAGGTAATAAGATGGTAATAATATTATTTACCTTTTTATTTTAGCGGCTAATTCGTGAATGGGAGCAAGAAATGAATAATCGCCCAGATCATGTTAAAAGGAGTATGCAAGGCAAACTTGCTGCTGCCACACAAAAACAAACAGATGAATACATGCAACCCTTTTTCAGAACTCTCAAAAAGAAGGTAGATTTAAAAAATCACTTTTATTTGGAAAATGTATTAATGTTATTCATTTATATAGTCGATAGAACCAGACGTATTGGCTCGGGTGACAGAAATCACACATTATATGCAAATACGTGAATATATGACTGCGAACGATGCTTATTTACGATTATCTATTGGAAATGCACCTTGGCCTATTGGTATGCTTTCTAAGAATTCGTGCGAGTTAATAATTTGATTTGTCAAAATTAGTTGACTAATTCTATTTTTATTAAACAAAAAGGTGTTACTATGGTTGGGTACGTATAATAAACTCAACGCTTGGTTCATTTTGGCATAATTATTATACAAGATCATGTGTGGAAATTATAGACATGCGCAAGTGCTACATATTAACATTATGTCATATGCATACCGCACGCTTCTTTAATATACTTTACATAACGATCTTATTAACGCTTATGTTAACTTTATTTAGTATCCATGAACGTTCGGCTCGTGAAAAAATTTTTTCTGCGCAGGTTGCTCACGTGCTTAACGATGAGTCAACGCGTAAATGGATTCAATCTATTAAAAGATTGATGACATTTTGCCAGTCAAAATATCCACCAGAAGATAATTCACAGCTTATGGGGTGATAAAATTCTTTTCTTGGTTTATATCGTTTATATTATTCATTGTTTGTTACTCGTTAGTAGTATGATTTGCTTTTCATCGCGTTTAATTTAAATAGGTTCGAAGTAATAATACTAATAACAATCTGTTGTTATGATTGAAAAGTTTGGTCCTTTGATCCGAGTGAAAATGCAAAGGAAGAGAAAAGTTAATAATAATTCAATAATATGTAACTATTAATAGGTTCAAAATTATTAATAAATAATTCCAAAAAGATGATTTTTGTTTATTTCTAATTTGCTCCTTTTTCTAAGACTTTTGCTACTTCCAATAAAGTGTCCTCATCCCCGTATTGTGTCATCAATTGCAACCCAATTGGATAACCATCGATTGAGGATACACCATATGGTACGCTTATTGAAGGGATGCCTATATATAGACGAAATCAGATTCAACGATAATATTTTATAAAGATTTAAGTTTAAGACAAAAAAGTACAAGTCCTACCAGCTAAACTTGCAGGTACAGTTAAAACATCATTGACATAAGCATTCACAAAATTGCTACTATTATTATCTACGCTCACGTTGGTCTCCAAGCAATCTTCGATTTTTGGTGCAGTAGAAATGGCAACTGGAGTTAACAAAATATCAACTCCATCATCATCAATACTTGATGTGCCTTTTTTAATAAAATGTAACGGATTAGGTCTTTTAAAAACTCGATCAAAATCTTTTTGTATCATTCTACGGATCTTTTGCGCCTGAAGGAAATAGTTCCCATATGATCTAAAGTTTATAATAGAAAGAATTTTTTTTTATGTTATGGGCCTCAGAACAATATAAATTCTATTATAGGTATTTATTTATTACCCTGCAGTTAAAGCGTACGTTCCCAACATTATACGTCTTTTAACTTCTTTGCCAAATCCTTCTCTAGTATCAGCATAAAGCAAATTATCATTTTCGTTTGGTACTTTTTCATTTCGATAACCTAAAAAAATATATAAATAAATATACAAGCAGAACTTTAATTTATCAACCTCTCTTGAAAAGGATAGATCATGTCCTTATAACAAATACCATATCTAACTCCATCATATCTAGATAGATTAGATGAAGCTTCCGAAAGAGCTAATACGTAATAAGCTGATAAAGCATATCTGGTATTAGGACATGATACTGGGACAATTGATGCGCCTTGAGATCGTAGGTAATAAATTCCTTTCTTCCATAAATCAATAATAGAATCATTCAGTTCTGAAACATAGTATTCCTATGGTTTGTTTAACTATTTAGATAGGATTAACAACGAAAAGACAAATAACATACTGTTATACTTGCTTTAGGCACGCCAACTCGTAATCCTCTTAAATCATCAGTGTTAGAATCGGATTTAAAAAATGAAGGTATGGAAGAATTTATGGATCGAACTTTGGGAGACATTGATGTTGAATCGTTTGCATCGTACTTTGATATCACATCTAATAAAACGTAACAATACGTTTAAAACGAAAGTAAGATGTTCTTATTTTGAAATGCACGAGTACTAACCGTATATCAGTTTAGCATCATTTACTGTTCTTGTCAGAGTGCCAACCGTATCCAATGAATTAGCATACGCGACAAGTCCCCATCGAGAACATCTTCCATAAGAAGGTTTGAATCCAACTACACCACAATAGGAAGCAGGAAGCCGAACTGATCCGCCGGTGTCCGATCCCAATGCACTGCAGTATTTTTTACGTCATCGAGTATTTTGAACATCACTTGTAAGAAACAAATGGGCATCAAAATGCAATCAACTCACGCAAAACACATCCCAGCTGCAACTGCTGCCGCGCTACCACCAGAACTTCCACCAGCAATCCGTCGTTCTTTGATATTTTTATTATTATCCTTTTCCAAATGATTTTCAGCAAAAAGAATTGATTGAGGATTATAAACAGGTCCAAATATACTAAACACGCTGGCTGAACTTTTTGATTTGATATCGTGAAATTGAGTTTGGCTTAGCGTATATGGTTTAAAGTTAATGATCAGGAAATCACATATTTACCCCATTCCAAACTCATCCATATTTGTTTTCCCAATCATGATGGCGCCTGATTCTTCAAGAAAATTTACGACAGACGCATTAAAGGGTGATTTAAAATCTAAACAAGCAAGCAAGTTTGAGATGATGACATCACGTAACGCAACGAATACAACTTTGACAAAATTTTAACTTTTCAACATCATAGATCCGCATGTTGTTGGTAAGGTAGATGTACAAAATAGATCTTTATATGCAATAGGTATTCCATCTAAAGAGCCAATAAATGAGCCTATATCAAAAGATAATAATAAGTATAAATACAATAATGTGAGTGAGTGTAAAGGAATATACAACCCAACCTTTAGCAAATCGATCATCAACCTCTAAAGCCTTATTAAATATTTCCTTTTCATTTTGCACCTCTATAAACGCGTTTACTTTAGAATCATGTTTTGAAATACGAGAAAGACATTCTTTAACCAAAGCAGCAGTTGAAATTTTCTTCTGTCTTAACAGATTTGCGGCCTATTACAATAACATTATGAATGGGTCAAGAAAAAAAAAACTAAACTATTTGTAATAAGGGTGTGGTCATTTGAGGCAGAACACGTGATCGAAATTATCATTTAAAATTATCTGATTATATCAACCTCGGTAATTGTCCTGGACATAGACATAGCAAGCTTATGTTTTGGATTTAAAAAAAAACGATTTTTAAAACAATTTCTAATCCGAAAAACTTTGTTAATCTATCACTGATGAGATGAGCCAATCATTTTTATACGTGATTAGTGACATTTGGGAATCAACAGAATAAACAGAATAAAATAAAGTTCCTCGAAGCGAAGCATAATTATGACGTTTTATTGATAGAGTATTAGCTCATTAGAATCCTTATGACATTTTAATTGAACATTAAATATTTGATAATTCGTCGCGAACTTTTAAATCGCGTGATGTGTGATAATTAATTGACAATTATAATCACAAAGACCAATCGAATTTAGCAAGAATTTATATAAGAAATCTGAACAAATTTTTTTTCCTATCATCTCTTTTTTTTTCATTCAGTCGAGCAAAAATTTTTTTTTTCCGTTTCGTGTTGGTTTTGACTATTGACAAATTAATTGGTTCCCATTTCTTCAACAACAACGTATACTCTACTTTTTTTTATCAAAAGTAATTCTTCAAATTTGATTTCTAAAATTTTTTTGGAGTAAATTTTTTTTTTATTTTTTTTTATTTTCGTTTCGTGTTGTCACGAATGATTGTTTGCAAATAAGCGTTCCACTGAATCATCTTGTTTTTTGTTAAAATAATAAAAGATTATTTTTTTTTCTTGGTAATTTGACCGTTGGGTCGATTCGCTTATGTAATAAAAAAATACGAAGCTTGGAGGATTTACTAAAGGTGTAAAAGACGTATACTCACAGAATCTTTCACCTTATTTAAGCGTGTTGAGAGTTTTTTTTTTTTTCTTATTTACAAACCCATTTTGTTATCATTCTCAAAGTCTGATCTATACTTGGTTTCTTCAAAATCTTCAAGTACTTTTGTGATTAAAAGGTTCTGAAAATGGGTCGTCAACCAAAGAACCAGCCGTCAAAGAACAATGTACAAAATGGCGCTACGGGTATATCCATATACGAAAAATACAAAGAAATCAAGCTTAAATACATGGAATTAAAGAAGGTAAGTTTTTTTTTTAAAAAAATATAAATCCTGTTTCACGATTGAGTATGGGAAGACAATTTTAAAAATCGATTCAATAACAATTTTTCGCGTTCTTTAACTTTATTTACAGGTTAACGAAGAGCTAAACGAAGAATACGGACGCGCCATAAAAACAGTCAGAAAATGCAAGGATGAAAGAGAGTAATTATTATAATCGTATCTTTAAAATCTCTTTTTAAGAATTTTAATATTAACAACTTTTAGTATTTTACTGGACAAATTGTCCACAACTTATATTAAAAATGAATCAACCTCGACCAAGGACCATCAAAGACGGCAAAATGATGCTTCTGTTGCACATAACGTAAGGTCAGCAGCGCATGCTGCAAGGAACATCGTAAATGATGTTCCGGTTACTTCGTCAAAACGTGGTCCCGGTCGTCCTCCCGCAAGCTCGAGGAATGTAAAGGCGTACCATGTTGATAAAGATGAGAATGGTAACTACATTCTGCCCGTCGAAGTAGGACTCCACACAATTCTTAATTTAGGAACTGTGGTCTATGATCGCTCTGCATACCATAATGATCGATACATATATCCAGTTGGGTATTCAACACAACGGTAATTATAGTCATGATAATATATATAAAAAAATCAATGTTCATTTTATATCTGATTTGGTTTATCACGTGTTTAGACCATACCTAAGTATGATCGACCCGACTCGAGATACAACATATACTTCAAGGATCGAAGACGCTGGAGATAACCCGAGAGTAGGTGATTGGTTTTAAGTGAATATAATTATAATCATATTCAATTAATGATTTTATTGTTTTTACTATTTGCAGTTTGTTGTTCAAGCTGCAGATCAACCCGAAGCAATAATCGCAAATAGCGCGACAGGGGCATGGACCCCAGTCATTAAACAAGCTAACAGCATTCGAAACAGAAAGCACTCAAACGCGGCTTCCGGACCAGATTATTTTGGGTTGTCACAGCCTACAGTCAGGAAAATGATACAAGAGCTTCCGAATGCACAAAAGTGCAAAAATTATAGAATGCAAGAATTCGAAGTACATCCTATTGGCACACGCGGTCGAGGAAAGCATTCACGGTCGGGGAAATACTAAGCCAAAAAAAATATTACATTATGATGTAATCAAGGGGATGAGAGAATTTGAAATTTAAAAAAAAAAAAAAAAAAAAAAAAAAAAAAACTTTAAAACTCAGAATAAATGGAAAAAAATAATAAGTAAATTTTTTATATGTATAGCAAAAAAATCATGGCGGTGGGAAAAAAATTGTTATAAAAATCGTAAAAAAAAAAAATTTAGTAAATAGTTCGCTATTGGGCGTCTTTATTAATAATTAATTTAGTAATAATAATATGGTGATGGTCTTTTTTTTTGCAAAGATGCTAAAAAAAAATTGAACCGATTTGTAAATAGTATAATTTAGCGATGACAATTTGTCTTTCGAATACGTGTTTAATCGCGCGTTTTGTATATAAAATAAAAAAATGCTCGCGATTTAATTATTTTATTGTTTTATTGACCAAGTTGTTTTTATCAACAGTAAGTCACATGATTCAATTTCTTTTTGAAGTGGTTGATTTAACCGAAACATAGAATGTTCGAAAGTTTTTACTTGTAAAAATGTTGATTCACAAATACCAAGCATCACAAAGATATGTAAATCTTTTCTATTTGAATTGAATCAATCTCACGTGATGCATATCAATATAATTTTTTTGAATTTGAGAAATTCTTTTTCAAAGTGAATTAATAAGAACTTAATAATTATTTGTTGAAAATGACGCGTCACTTTATTTCAAATTGAAATATAATCACGTCTGACGTAACCTTACATCTCATCACTCAATTAAACGCGATCTCACCCACATCCATTCAATTACTATAAAATTTAATACAAAGATTGATTAATGATAAATATAAATAAATATATATATATATTTTTCATTCTTCCGCTTTATTAAAAAAAATGGAGGAAAAAAAAAGATAAATAATAATGGAATAATATAATAATGAATATTATATAGACAATATAATAAATCTCAAATGAAAAATTTTTGAACCAAAAAAAAAAAAAAAAAAAAATAAGAATCTATAAATGATATTTTTGGTTGAATAAATTCTTGAACAATTCTTCAAAATACTGGCATTCTCTCACATCTCATTAAGATTTTTTTTTTTTTTGTTTTTTTTTTTTAAAAAAAAATAATAATAATATATATATAAATATCTTGAATGAAAAAATAATAATCATAAACAAATCATTGTCACCAGTTTTTTTTAAAATAAATAAATAACAATAAAAAAGTAAAATTGGAGGTATTGTCAATTAAGTACAAAACCTCTATAAAAATTTCTAAGGAAAGTTACAAAAGTATACAAGAAAAAAAAAATATATATAAATATAAATAATAAATTATTAAACAAATTAATATCAATGTCCGTGAAAAAAAAATGAATGATAAAAAGAGAAAAGGCCCGATAATTAAATATAAAGGTACAAAGAATAGTCGAGGAGAAAAAAAAATACACGTAAAATGTAAAATTTTGCCAAACCGGTCGGCATTTTTAAGTGAATATATATAATAATAATATATGAATGTTCTCCTTTTTATAATTTTTAATTACAAAAGAAAAAATGTCAGAAATTCCAACCAAATAAATAATCTTTTTTAATTTAGAAATTTCTTCCCTAAATATGAAATTCAAAATTTTTTAAATAAATGAATTAAATAATAATATTGACATTCTAAACTAAATAAAGATATAATAGAATTCAATATGAAAAAAAACAGAACGTTTCTTTTTCAAGCACATTGGTTATTTTCAGTTACGAGCTGCCTTTTTCTTTCGTCCTCCTTTTTTTCCATAAGCCAATTTTGCAAGATTTTTAATCTGGGCATCAATCTTATTAAGGTCTTCCTCATATAACTCCAATTCTTTCTTCATTGCTTTTGCCTTTCGAAATTCAGGAGTGTGTTTTATTAAGTAATAAAATTCCACAACTTGTTCGGTCGATTTATTTACTTGTTTGCCTATTATCGAAAAATCTTTTCCGTATTCGAGATATGAAGCAAGGAACATTTTACGCTGAATAGATGACCACATTGAAAGAATTTCATTCTTTTTCGGTGGAATTGGATAATTTGAATTACTAGGAGGAATGAATTTATATCCTCCGCATCCAACAACCCCATCGCCAGCTAAAATTGGTATAGGTATACGTCTCGTTTTTGTATAAGGAGCTTCAAGAGCTGGTATAGGTGCAGCACGATCACGATAATATTCCTCTTTTTCATCATCTTCTGTGATAACGGATTTATGTTTTCTTAAACGCGTTGCAGGTCCAGAAAACCGTCGTTTACCTAAAATTTGTTCTTTAGAACGACTGCTAGGTTTTGGTTTCCGTGCAGATCGTCTAGGACTAGGCGGACAAGGACTGGATGGTGGACTTGATACCGCACTACTTGCCACTGATGAAAACGCGGGTGATGGATGAATCTTTCTTGCCACTACCGCTAAAGATGCGAGGGTTGTGATAGCATCTTGTTCATTAGCAATAAAATCTTCCTCTGCAGAACTATATGATGCTGGACTAGAAGAAAATTCACTAGGTGACAAAGCTCTTTTTGGTGAAAAGTGAGCGCTAAATACGACGCGTGGTAATACACGCGACGTATTGGAACTTGTGTCATGTTCTAGTGTCTCATTACGAACCTCTAAGTATTCTGACTCCTTTCGCGTCTCAACTATTTGTGAGGTATTGCTATTAATAATTTTATTGGAATATAATGGAATTTTAAGTGGGTAAACTGTAGTAGTAGTTGGTGTTTTTGGAATTGCTGGAATTGAAAACATGTGTGAGAATTGTGTAAGTTGTGCCGAAGCCATTGCAAGCTTTAAATACTATTGTACAAATAAAAAAATTTTTTTTTCTTTAATATAAATAAAATAAACCAAATCTACAAAAAAAGCACAAAGTTTTTTATGGCTTTTAAGCCTTAATTCACGTGTGCTTTTTTTTTTATACTTGGTTCAAAGTGGCGCCCTTAGTGTTAAATAACTTTGGGATCACTATTAAACCAAGTTAATATTCCTGTTCTCTTTTTAGTGGAACTAGCCACTCCTCTTTCAACACAATATATTAAATAAAAGAGAATCCCTTTTTTGAGTGTGTCTATATTTGTATATATTAATAAGCAGACAGTTTAGTAGTACAAGGTGTAGTAGTGAGTTGATGATGAGGGAAAAGAGAACATGTCTATTAAAAGGGATCGTATAAAAGCCAAGTCTCACGAGCCAAGCAAAAGTTAAACAATTAGTATAGCTTTTAAAAGTAAATGAGAAGCCTTGGTCCGCGTTCGGTTTAAAAAGGGAAACGAGAAGAAAATATATTGGACGGTAGTTGTAAAGTGTAAAAAAACACGCGATAAGTGACAAAGTGACGCGAAATTTTTTTTAAATATGAGAGATATTAGAACAAGGGTTGACGGAGGGCGATTTTTATAAAGGTGGATAGAAATTTTGTCGGTGTTTGAAGTGTGGGGAGGTTTGAAAAAAGTTAAGAAAAATAGGGTAATAGGGTGCTCAATACTAATTGTAATCTGGTACGATGACCATAAATATCAATAAAGGTTCACGAATTCATTGATTAGGAAAACTCAGCCGAATAAACTAGTCCGGATGTTACACCGGTCGACATATAGACTATCATCGGAAATATATCGGTACTATCTAACAACTAACGACCTAACATTATATTTTTTTAAATTTTTTTTCATACTTTTTTCCAAGCATGAATTTTTCTATAGGATTCCGGTTCTTAGAAATTTGTGAACGGGCAATCAAACATCTATAGCTACGTTATTTCCATTTTGGAAATAAGGACACTTTTCGCCTTTTTGAAAATCATGCAAAGCTGCAGTGTTTATCGAATCGGATCTTTATAAATTTTATTGATTGATTAATGATAACTAATAAAATATTAGGAATGTACTTCCAAATTCTTTTATTGTAACAGTTTCGTCACAATTCCTATAAATCTAGTCGGCTAAAAATCGCGCCACATCTTTTTCACCCTTTTTTCCGGGGGGTTTCCACTTGAAGAAATTTGATTGGATGATCAAAAAGTGACAAATTATTTATATATTTTCCGATCATGAATAAAACAAGATAAACTTTTTCTAATGGCTTCAAGTGAGCAACCTGTATTTCCTTTAAAAACACGACAAACAGCTCGTTTACTAAATGGAACACATACAGAAGTAATGGTTACGGGGTTCCATGACAAAATACTTGTAATTGTTACTCAATACGGAAGAATTGGCAGTTTGGTATGCAACGATTCTAAAAACTCTAAAAAACGTCGATTTCTTATTGATTTTCTTTAAATTTAAAAAAGATTTACGTGACGGTTGATTCACTTTCACCAACGGTACTATCGGTAACACCTTCCACTACCACCAATATAAAATTTCTTTTCGGATCCATGACGTTGTTATACCAATTGTACGCATCACATCTAGCTACTGTGATAGCGGCAGACAATCCAATGGATGGAAGATCCGTGGTAGTGGGGTTGGCATTAAAGAAAAGTGGAGATGATGATGAGGTTGGAAACAAAGAAGTATTTGAAGAAGTAGTATCGATGGTAAAGGAATGTAGAGTTTGGTGATATTTTATCAATCCTCGGGATGTACTTTTATATACGAGACTATAATTTTACAAATTAAAACAAACCAAATGCAGATACCTATGTATACACACACGTATTATTATATATATTTACAAATTATGAACATCCTCCAATAATGTTGTTTTCGAAGTCCAAAATTCAACATTTCCATCTAGGTTCGATAATTCTCCATCACTTGGAAACCATTGCCAACATAAATCATTAAATATATTAGCTGGAATTTGTATCAAAAGATGATCATCATTATATTTTGCCGGAATCGTTGGAAAAGGAACACTTTGAATAATCGTCAAAGCGTGCAGAAAGTTTAGTCAAGGAATTTTTAAAGCAGAGAAAAGGAAAATCGCGATAGAAATAAAAAGGAAAAAAAGGATATAGGGCCTATATAGGGAGCTTTGCTATTCAACGAAGACTTTGACATCCTTAAAAAATTAACCTTTCGATTAATTTAAGAAATAATACGAATATGAAAAAGGAGGATTTTGTCTTACCCTTCATTATAAAAATCTAATCTGTTTCCTACAAGAATTATCTTTTCCAGCTTCTTTTTTTCCCAATTCGACGCAATCACGTTATTATATAATCCAATTGGACAATGTGGCATATAAAAAAGAGTCTGATTTGTGATTTCCCTCTTTGCTTTCTTTTTATAATCAAATAATAGCGAAAATTTTAATGAAAAAAATTGACTCGCTTCCCTAATATAAATTAAGACGGAGACATACTTCGTTGATATCGATTATACTTATTTCATAATGTGAAAGAATGTCCAAGTCAATTGATGTCAAGACAGGATCGTACACATAAGCTTTTCCTGTTATCTTTACAAAAGGATTTAGTTTTCTCATCATAAAAACGAAAAGATATATGACTGTTGCTATTTTAATTAGGTTACTTGAAATAAATCCTTCAAAATTAACATGAGTGCAAATTGAAATTGCGATGATTTTGATCTTTCAATACTTCCAATTCCATAACAAACAATATCCACAAGTTTTGGTCGATGTGGAGGGAAAAGTCGATTGCTGATTTTTTCTTTAATAAAATATTTCAATGTAAACAAAAAAATTCAAATCAATCTTAAATTTATTATTTATAAAAAAAGAATTTGCCAATTAGTCGAACCTTGCAATTCTTGAAAGAAAACGCTTTGTAAAAGGCTTTGTCTGAAAGAAAAATGTACCATAATTTAAATTTAATGGAGAAATATTTATAAGCACTTATATATCACACCTTTTTTCATCTACGTAAGAAATGTAGTCAACTGTTCTATTCTCTTTTACAACCCATTTTTTTTTCCCACGACGATTTTTCTTGGATCTTTGTGATCTAAAATTCTGATATTTAAAAGAACTATGCTCATTATTTGGAGTAACGCTTTGAGACTCTTCATTCTCGACTTCCATTTTTTCATTCATTTTCTTAAAAGATATGCAAGATATGCAGTTGATCGAATCATTTTTTATTGTAGATTGTCAGAGAGATTTAAAATGACACAAAAACGATTTAATATCGCTTAATACATGAATATAAATAATATAGCTAGATCGATCCAGTAAAAAAAAAAACTATTATGTTAATTTTTGCCCGGACCTGCCCGCGAATTATAATGTTGTCGATCATCATGACCTCGGCCAATAAAATCATCGGACTTGTTATGATAAATGATCTGATTTTATAAAAAATTAATATTTAAAAATAGAATATTTGTAATTTTTTAATTATTTTTCAATAAAGTTTTTGCGAAACTACCGCACTTAAAAAATAAAAAAAAAATTAATATTTAAAAATCGGTCTTGATTTAGATAGTTTTATGATTATTTAGATAGAGATTTTTGTAAATTCTTAATATTTGTAATTTTTTAATTATTTTTCAATAAAGTTTTTGCGAAACTACCGCACTTAAATTAATATTTAAAAATTTTTATGATTAATCTTTTTTAAAATAAATTAAATTATTTTAAAAACCTTTTAATAAACTTAAAACTTTGTTAATAAAGTTGTATTTTTATATAATAATATTATTATTAAAATTAATATTTAACATTTTATAAAAAACTTTTTTAAACAGTCTAAAAGATAAATTTTAATGAACTTTTATTTTCAAAGTTTTTATACTCATTTTAATACTTTATTTTACAATTACAATATTTAATTTTTAACTTTAATTATTAAATATAAATTTATATTATAATTTAATATTATTTTAAACATTAACATATGGAAGGCAGTCAGTTGAAAAGAGGAAAATTCAAATTTTGGTCAAAATTTATATTATTGGACCACTTGGCTGATCTCAGTCATGTGCACCAAATTAGCTTAATAATTAAAATTAACAAAATTTTGGATTTCCTCCTTTTCTTCTGATCACTTTCCATATGTTTAATTTTTTAAATAAAATCAAAATATTTACTTTTAAAAGAAGATAAATTAATAAAGTTTATAATAAGTAGGCATTTTTATTCTATTAGATAAATAGTTCTTAATTTTGTTAACAAAAAAATGTAAATTATTATCATATAATATGTTATTACAAGTATATATTTATTTCTTTTTACATGAACTTTATTTTCTATTTCTTTAAATTTACTATTAGGATTAATGTATTCTAAAACTTAAAAGATTTTATCTTTATTAAATAATTTTTTTTTAATTAAAAATTAAGATTAATTTTTACAATATTTTCTTTTTCTTTCTAATTATTCTTCTTTAAAATCCTAACCTTAAAATTCTATATATTCTTTTATTTTTAATTTTTTTTCCTTTAAATTTCAATAACTTTTTACAAATTTTTATATTATAATTACTTAAATTTTAACTGTTCTTAGATACTGTAAACAGATAAAATGTGAAGGGCTTACATAATGCAAATGATTAACAAATTTGATAAATTCAACATGTCTGATATTTTTGACATTTCTGACATGTCTAACATATATGATATATCTGACATGATTGACAAATAGAATATATTAGACAGATTAAGGTTGCTTGTCTAAACTCATTTTGGATTTGGCAAAACGGTAAAACCTTTAGTTTTGCTAAATTTTTACTAAGT